AGGGAGACATTGATGCTATGTGACCCAAATCTTCCTTAAATATAGTACTAAGTAAAGAGAAGTGTGAGTTTCGTGAGGCTAAGTGACCCCAAACTACATCATGATACTTACTTGTTTTGCTCTATTGTTTATAAATGTCATGATCGTAATGTAGCATGCTTATATGTTGAATGCATGTAGTATAGTAGGGTTATTTATATGGCATTGAGCTTGTAAGCTCAGCGTATGGAATATGTTACTCATTTATAAAATGTTTTTAAAAAAGTGGTTAACCACTTACGTGATTTCGTATGACATCATAATCCAATGGCTTTTGGGTCAAATCGGATTAGGGTGTTACATTTTTTAGGTTAAAAAGAATAGGTTCGGTATAGTTATTGGTATTAGTAATGGTAGTTCTTTCGTCATTGCTCGTGGAGTATGGTACAAGTGTAATTAGGGGGAATGCATGTCACGTTTTGTTTTTATATTAGTTTCTGAAACTTATTTTGATATTGTATATTATTGAATTTTGTTTTAACGTCTGAACGATTTTTTAAATTTATATATTGTAACACCCTAAACCCGATTGAACCTAAAGTGCCACATTAAGCTATAGAGCCTGAATTTCAAAATCTATTCATTTTCTTTTAAAACATACTAAATGGTATTATACAACATATAAGACAATTATTAAAATGTTTTACAAATCGGAGCTCCATGATACATAATTTAAAATCAAAATAATACATCGTGATGTTTTTAACTCAAGTATATAAGTAATGTTCTATGAATACGCATGCCCACTAAAGCTATAGTACAGTACTCTGAATCAAATGTTGGAAGTCCTGCTGCGATGGTGCCCTACAAATTGCTCTAGCTACTAACCTACCTACAAAAAACATCTGAAGGCTGAGGTTACAAAGCCCAGCAGTATAATCGCTAATCTATAGTAGCATTAAGAGTTTCATAAACATAAGCATGCTAATGATAAGCAGTAGGCACATGTATGATCTAAATCAAGTGCTACCTACTTAAGGCTTAGATGTCCTATGTCTGAAGTGAAGGTCTCATACTTCCCTAAATCCTCTTATAGGGGCCTCACCATGAGTGTACCTCTAAAGGGTCTCGCACCATAATGATTGTAACTACTATGCATTATCTAAATACGACATTGACTCTGATGTACATTATCTGAATACAATATTGTCTCTAATATGAAACAAAAAAACATAAACACATAACCTAAGGTAGGCATCATGGTGCAGGTGAGGGGCTACATCTCAAAGCTCGCGCACCCTTCTATTTTACCTATACTATGATACAACACACACAAAATGAGGTAGGCATCATGGTGCGGTTGAGGGGATACATCTCAAATCTCACACACCCCTTTAGCCTACCTACGGTACTATGCGACACATGAGATGAGGTAAGCATCATGGTGCTACTGAGGGGCTACATCTTGGAGCTCATGCATCCGTCTAGCCTACCTAAGATTCGTGTGTAAACTGGGGTGAGATTGAAACTACATCAGAAACGTACACCCCGCCAACTTACTCCGTCGAGTCTTGGGGCATCTACGCCTAGCTGGAAAAAGAAGTGGCATAGCACTGACTGGTATAGACCTGGACATACTGACAAACAAGACTATCGCCCTACTATTAAAGTAACTCAGGTGTCCTGGCTGTTTTCTTAGTGTCATACAAAGACTAGTTTTATGATACTTATTTCTTTAGTTATCTGAGTTATTCCCGTTCTCGTTTACTACTCTTATTTATTAGGCATGCTTTATTCTAGTTATCTGTGTGTAATGACATTTTAAACATTCTCTGCCTCTAGCGAAGTCTTTACACGTTCTCAAGTTTTTATGACAATTTTTGAGGTTGTTGTTCACTAATGGTACTATTTGTTAGCTCGGTACCTGACTCAGGTTCAACTCTGAGTAACGACACTCTGATCGATCATATTGAACTTCCTTTCAATAACCCTCGAGTTAAAAGGACAACTTACACCTCTTGGGTTCGCTTACATTCTCAAAGCCCATGCTCTCCGCTATTTCTAAATCTGACTCGCTCATTGTACCGTTGGTTGTTTTGAGTCATTTACATTTGCAAGTTGTTTTACTTCTTCCTAGATCCACAATAAAAAAGGGTACAACACCCTTACATCAAATGATATAAGAGCTTTGGTGGAAGAAGCAAAGTGCAACAACAACACATCAAAGAAAAGTACAAAAGAAAGTTGAAGTGCAAGTAAAGAAATTTCAAAAGTATAAACAAAAGGTGCAAGCATTCAATGAAGAAAATGAATCAAAAGAAAAGAAAAGAGATTGCAAAAAGAAGAAGTTTGAAAGCACAAACAATAATTTCAATCACCAAGCAAGTCAAGTAAGTAATTCTGAAAATTGATTGTGGTGATAAAAAGGTTGCAAAGTGACTTGTGTTGTAAGTAACCCTTTCTTCTTTTCTCTCTTATTTCAGATGTCGTAACAACTGTGATATAACAGTCGTTCATTCTCTATTGCGATATAACAATCGATATTTCGTTACCCGACCGCTATTTGAATCAATGATGATTACATCAATGGCTTAGAAAATTATTACAAGTGTATGTTTTTAGGCCATTTTTGAGAATTTGATAGGGACAAGAGTAGTAAAATCGACGCCAATGGAATGAGTGAGGCTCTGTTGAGTCAAGGAATTGCACTTCCTCCCACTGTCTTGGAGTTGCTTGTAACCAAGTTCGAATGGACCCTTGACTATGAAAACTTCATCCTGTAAAATTTTCGTCGTTGTTGTTTTGCCACTTCAACTTTACAAATTTAGTTAAATTAGTCATTAATTTTTTTGGATAAACTACACATTTAGTATGTAAACTATTACTTTTGTTTCATTTTAGTACTCAAATTTACTTTTTCTGAAAACTATATCTAACGTTTAGCTTAGGTTTCGTTTTTGGTACTCCATCGTTAAAAAATTAACTGAATTGTTGATGTTATATTTTTTTTAATTTTTTTCAGTAAGGATGTGGCTTTATCTTATGGTGACATGTCATCATCATCGTTAATTTTTTAACTGAGGGATACGTAAATGAAACCTAAACTATATATTAGGTATAATTTTAAGAAAAATTATGTTTGGGTACCAAAACGAAATAAAAGTAATAATTTAGATATTAAACATGTAATTTACCTTAACTTTTTAGGATCAAATTGATCATCTGCTTTTGTGAGTCAAATTCAATCAAATTTAATCAAGTTTATTGCATTTAGTAGAAGATGCAAGTGTATTTCAGAGGGATAAGTGTCCACCCTTAAATCTAAATTTCTAAGTATTCATTTTATTGATAGTACCAATCTAAAATTTTATTTGTGTTTACCTCATGCGAAAAATTGATATTGCAAATATATATATATATATATATATCCTTAAAAATATTTATGAATCTATCACTAATCACATTCAATAGTTATTTTATGTTTCAAGCCTTTGTTTTTTTTAACATGATGTTCCTTTGACTTATGTATATAATATCAACTAATCTTTGTCAAATTTTCTTCTTCTCAACACAGGTGCAGCCTTATAGTTAAAGTAAGCTTTCCTTATTCACTCTTTGATGAGACTTCGATTTTCATGCACTAAATCGTTTGTGGTTTGTAACGTAGGGCTTAACCGAGAAATTCAAGAAGCATGAGCGCAAGTACACCGGTACTGCAACGTTTACGTACGGAGAACTCATGCTCACCATTTTGCCCTTCTTAATTGCTTAGGGCTTTTTTCCTTTCCTTCTTAGATATGCAATAAAGAATGAACTTGTTTAGGTGTTCAGATCTTATCATCTTATTTAATAGAATTGTTTGTAGAGGAGGTCCTCAAACATTAACTCTAATTTTTAATTAATCCCTAAACTTAAAAATGTTCTATATAACTCCCTAAATTATAATCTCATTCCATATTGATACATTAACTTTAAAACATTATACATCACTCCTCAAAACTATCAATGTTCTGTAATTTTTATGTGCCTAAATATGGATCATTAATTAAATCAAGATTCGAATTCGTAGCGTTTTTATTACAAAGACAACTAATTAATTAACTAGGTACCCGTTTAGGGTGTTAATCTTTCCCCACATATAACCGACTATTGGCCCAACTTTTTGTATGCAAACCTAAATTGTTGTTTTAATAATATTAAAATTAAATTTTATTAAAATGTCAAAACCTTTTTGGACGTTCAATCATATCTTAATAAAAAATTAGTGGCAACTCCTAAAATTATATTTTTTTCAAAAGACAACCCTTTAAAATTTCTGATTTGTGGGAATGTTTCAATAACCTCTAACCTCGATTAGTGGCAAGCCACAACTTGGTTGGTGAAGGTGGGCATGTGCCCACCCTAAAATTTGAATTTATGACCGATACCTTGTTATAAGTATAGCTTATAATACGTAGCATTGACTCGGTGTCATTATAGTCAGTCAAGCCAAGCATCATGAATATCCAATAATTATCATCACATACCACATATACTCCCCAAAGTACCAAGCATTTACCGACTGATTATTATTTTTAAACAAAAAACCCCGATAGCCAACATCCATCACATACCGCAACACCACCGCCATCTGTATCAGTTTTACACCACCCAATGGACGGAGGTTGCCAAAAGGATGTCTGACGTTTAACTTTCCCACCATCATTAGCATTTATTAACGAAGACGATAATGCTCAAAGAGCTTCATCTTTCATTCTCCTTCCCTTATCCAACACAGACTCACCTTCAATATAACCCAGATTAAATGTGAGGTTATTCCGGCTTACTAAAGGATCGAGCCGAATAATATGTCCTCTTTAGCAAAATAATATGGGTGTTGATATAATGTTGCTGTCATCAAACTTGAATAATTCTTTCCCTTATAACGAGCCATGTGAAAAGAATATATTTTATATACTCTTTCCCTGCAAATCATTTAAATATGACGTTCATAGATACAATTGATGATTAAATTATTTGAAAATTTGCTTTAGCCCTAAACAAAATCCAATGTAATGTTGTTATTCTCACACACCGTAACAACCCTATTCTTCATGAGTTTCTTTTGTACCAAACGCAATAAAATTTACACTAATATCATCTGATAGAGACCATCTCCCTGTTATCGGGTTGAACACAAATCCGGCCATCTCTCTCACCTATACATACAACCATACACCATTCTTTAAAATCATAATGCAACGCAAGAGTTCGATTTCAGGTATCAAAGGGACTGATTGGTTATACTTACGTGGATCGAACAGTGCTTTAAAATCATGGTGAGTTCTTCAGGGGTAAGGAAACTTGACCATTGATGTGTGCCTTTAGGCAGCTGCACAAAATCAAGAGACATGTACAATGAACATATTCGTAAATGGCGGCCACAAATGAACAAAACAGATATATAATTACACATCGAAATTGAAAAATAAGTTATACTTAAAAAGATGGTGAAATCGTACCCAATGTAGCAGGTACTCTGCAGCAACGATGGCAGTTGCATATGATCTCATAGAGCGGTTAATTGTTGAAACCACGGTAGCTCCTTCATGAGCAGTTAAAGCCGAGAGAGATTTGCAGAATTCAGCAGGATCTGCTACGTGCTCAATCACCTTACGTAAAATTGACAAAAAGGGTGAAAATTAGACACAGATTCACAATATTGACAAACGGAGAGAGTGAGAGTGAGAGACGTAGTTGTTGTCCAGAGAGGGCATACCTCTAAAGCAATCACTGCATCGAACTGTCTTTGTTCGTCAACCAGCTTTTCTGTTCATGAAAACGTATCCGCATAAGTTACCACTAAACACAAACACCAAACAAAGAGGAACAGCTATGATATGTTTTACTAATTCAAATTCGCCCATATCACGAGTGTGTAAAATGTGACACAATTATCAAACTTCATCAAAGTCGATTATAAAGGCAAGCATTTAGAGCTACCAAAGTACGAAAAAAAAACACAAAAAAGCAATGCATGCTCATTTCAACTAATTACAGATCTAGATTAGCAGAGAGATTAACCTACAGAAGAAGAATTAAGCTTAGAATTTACCTGCTGTTGTGCAACAGTATTCGATATTTGAGGTTGTTGGGTCCAAATTCTGTAGAAGCAGGTACATCAAAAAATCCAAGTTCAGGCACTCAAAACCGTAAACTTTAAACATGTAAGTTGGTGCAATATTAATCATATACAAAAGATTCATGCTAATCAAATTCGAAGCAGGAACCAATTATCTATAATTAATAAATAAAAATATAAATAAAGGAATTCAAATTTGATAAACAATATGTAGTGACAACAGCCATTATAACCCAAAGGGACAATTAATGAACTATGAGAATCCAAGCCAAAATATTCAATCACCTACTAACTAGCTAGTTGAGGCAAAGTAAAACCAGGTAAGAGCATTCCATTTCAATAAGTTTTCATATGAAGTAGGCGATGCCTGATAAAATACCATAATCCTATTTGACCATATTCTTAAAGAAGCTACAGTTTCAAAGACAAAAAGTAAGTAAAAATCTTTGGGACGACATAGTATCTTCAAACCATAGGCGTAACATGGTGTTAGCACTAAATAACCAAATCTTCCTTTCTTTTAACCCCATGTGCAGTTATTACAAAAATATCCAAGATGTAGAAATGCTTAGGCTAACATGCTGCACAAGCTGGAAAATTTCTGGTAATAAGCAAATTACGAAAGTTTGCACTTGCATGTACAAAAAAGTAACACTATCTCCATACTATGAAATGGTTGAAAAGAAGAAAACAGCATACAGCATGAATACGGGCAATCTTGATGTTTTTCTCTATTGCATCAATTCCAGTGACAATTGCTCCCATTCGAGCCAATGGCTGAGAGGAAAAAGAATACAATAAGTACCAGAAAAATATCAAATCTAACTTGATCAGTTTGTATTAATATCTGCTAGGAGAGAAGGGGAAAATGAGCAGAAGTGGAATGTAGGCTTATTTTAATAAACAAACCCTTCTAATAGTTTTGATAAGTGAACTACACTCTGTCAGTTCTAAATTTAATGTGTATAATTACATTGAAATAAAACTTGCCTTAGTTCCACGTATAAGATCAAGGGTTTATTTGGGTATTAACCTTTTCTTTTCCCCCAACTAGTTAATATCCTGGTTGTTTACAAGAAAAACACTCCTAACCATAAATGTAAGAAAAAACCGAGTTTACGTAATGCAACTTGTTGCAAAAGATAAAGAAGAAGGTGAACTGGAGACAACAGTGGTAGTATTGGATGTGGAAACTGATTTGCAGTTCAAAACTATGAAAATAAGAGGGGAATGTCCATAAAGGAAGCTGCAAAATTTAATTGATACGAGCACTCAAATTTTTTGAAATCAAAAGTAGATTGTAAAGTGAATTCTGAGCTTATTCCAACAGCTATAGTTCCTGTAGTGGTCACCAATGATAAGAATTTACACTGAAAAAGCAAGTTTAGTGCTTTCCAGTGGAGTATGCATGGAAATGACTGTGGCAAAGGTTTATCTCACTGATCTCGATACCTCTAATCTAATACCAAGGTTCCAGTGGCTATACAAACCAGGGATTTAAATTGAGATTGCGGACATAGTGGGTGCTATTGCGGTCATTACGGGTATCGTGGTCGTGCAATAACGGTTTCGGATGGCACATTTACCGCTATATAACACCACTATTTAAATCCCTGATACAAACTTGGGGAGGTAACATAGGATTTCCAGACCCAAAAAAAAAGAGGAATTCCAGTGGAAAACATGCAGAAATACCTCTGAAAGAATACCACCACCGCAACCGACATCAATAATCCTTAATCCTTCAAAGGGCCTAGCAGAGAGAGGATCCTTTCTACAACAACAAACAGCATAAACAAACGCAACTAGGGATCAAATTGAAATTCCCCAAAACATAATAAAAATACGATATCAGTATTCCAAACATGGTTAACAAAACAAGTTCAGCAAGTAAAAGATTCAGTCTTTTCGAGGCATACCGGAAATGCCGACAAAGGGTAGAGCGGATGAAAGCTAGCCTGGTAGGGTTCATTTTATGCAATGGTTTAAATGGTCCTTCAGAATCCCACCTGCAAGCAATAGAAGAAAACGTTGTTGTAGATCATTTCAAAATCTTTGTTTAATCGACCTAAAATAATCCCAGTTTTTATACTGACCAAGTATCGGCAATGGCAGCGAACTTGGCGAGCTCAGCTTCCTTCAATGAAGAGGGAGTTGAAGAAGTATTTTTGAACTTGTTATTAGATTTGGGTTCAGGATCAGAAACAGGGTGCTGAGAAGCCAAATCAGAAAAGAGCCTGACATTGAAAAGGTTTGTTCCAAGGAGACGGTGCCACCGAGGTTGGCTTAGGAGCTTCGAAGAAGCCATTAGAAAATGGGTATTTGCAGGAAGAGAAGATCAGAAGCAATACTAGACCTATGTGTGTATAAATAAAAGGGTAAACTACTCGTATGACCAATACTCTATTGTTATTTTTAACTTTGACCATTAATGTTTGAATTTTATCAATCAAACCACTTAATTATTTAAATGTTTTAATCACGCCACTTATTGTTACCCTTTAACGAAGAAGATGACGTGAATGTTAAAAATATTACTATAATCATACATTTAGTATTTAATATTTTTATTTTTATTAATTTGGTCCTAATTTTAATTAAATTAAATTAAATTGGTCCCAATTTTGTCACCACATGATTGGAGTATTAATTTTTTAATTAAATTAAAAATAGGAGAAAATTAATAGAATGTATAAATATTACAGATTAAATATATAATTAATATTTTTAACAACCATCTCAGTTAAATGTTAATGATAATGACCCGATTGAAGCATTTAAATAATTATATGATCTGATTGAAATATCTATAGTAAAAGTGAAAAGCAACAATCATTTAATGGTCATACAAGTAATTTACGCTTAAAAATTTGATTTGATTGATCCTATTTTGATCTATTCATTCAATTCCACCGATTTGCTTTTTAGTTTTTGAATAATTTAGATTGAATATTTGATTAAAAAAATGGATAATTGAATTAGATTCGGACCGTCTGAATTTTAGTTTAGAATATCCAAAAATTCAACAAAAATTAAATTTTTGGATTTTAGAAAAATTTTAATTTAATAAATAATTAACTCACTAGCCCATTAAGATAGTAGACTAATAAAAATTAAGATTTTTAATTATTTATTATGTGTGAATAATTAAATATAGAGTAAACTATCAAAATGGTCTCTTACCTTTTATCTTTGTACATTTTTGCTCATCAAATTTAAAAAGATTAAATTTTGATCACTTGCATTACCGTTTTATTAAATTTTAATTACTAAAACATTGAATGTCGTTAGTTTAATGATTGACATATTAGTAAAAAAATTAATTTTTATTTTAACCCTTAAACTTTAGGTAAAATATTAATTATAGACTTTTTACAAACTCAACATAATTTAAGAACAAATTTCATTTTTTCTTTTTTTAGTATATTTTTCTTCAACAAACACCTTCACCAAAACCATGCTTTTTCACCGCTAATATTTAAAAAAGGCTTCAATAAAAAATAACTATCCAAATTATATTGTTTTTCATAAATAATTGTCTAAAGTAATTTTTGACTTTTTCGGTATCTAAAGTTACAAACATTTTAGGTGTACAAGCCATCAACAGTGTTAATTTCCCTGTTAAGTGACACGTGTCACAATCGGTGATTTTTAAAAAAATCTTTAAATTAAAAATTAAAATTTTATAATTTTAAAAAATATATAAAAGTTTTGAAATAATCCCAAATTTTTTGAAAATCTTCATTTCAACTCATAAACTCACGTCGACTATTTATAGCAAAAGGCGAAGGTGGTTGTGGGTGGAAAGGGCCGCGATTGTGGGTTAAGGTTAGGATTTGGAGATTTTAGGGATTTTGAGACTTTTTTTATAATTTAAGAGAATTCTTTTTTATAAATATAATAATATTTAAAAAAAATCAAAATCACCATATTGTGACACGTGTCACTTAACGGAAGAAATTAACACCATTGACGGTCCGAGCACCTAAAATAGTAACTTTATAACGTTAGGTATAAAGATGAGTTAAAAAATAATTAAGATATCTATTCGTGAAAAGTATTATATTTTGGACACTTATTTTATATTTAACCCAAAGAAAACCCTTTGATTTCATGTTCTCCTTTTCAAAGCAAAAAAGAAAGGGTAAAATATATTATTTCTCACTAAACTTTACTTCCTCTCCTATTTCGTTCATTGTATTTATAATTTTTTCAATTTACTTACTAAACATTTAAATTGTTCATGCTTTAGTCACTCTAAATTATTTTATTATTATTTTAGTATAATATGACATTTTATTATTATTTAATATATAAATAATATAAAATATCAAATTAAAATAGATGGTGGTCGTCCACTATTTGTCATCATTGGACGTCATCGTGGATAGCAGTAGATGGTGGCCTTTCAGTCCCATATTTCATTGATCGCTTCGTCTCAACCCCTAAGTTCAAATCCGACATTCATTTTGTTGGAACATGCTTTGAATCCAATCAAAAGTGAAAAAATCAAAGCGTTGACAGTCGTATATAGTGGTCGTTCATGGGTCGCTTCGTATCGACCCCTGAGTCCGAATCCGACCTTCATTTTGTCAGAATATACTTCGGATTCCATGAATAAGATATTAAAAGTGAGGAAATCAAAATGTTTTTTGTCTAGAATCATAGGTTTTGGTATATTTTTTGTGAAACAACCACTAGATTCGAACTCAACGTATAAAAACAAATTTCTCAATACTATTTGGGATCAAACGACTGCAAATTTCGAAGGTCGACGATGACGAGAAAAGGCGATGGACGTTAGTGGGGTTTGGGATGAAAAAGATAAAGGGGTTAAAGTTAGAGATATTATTTTATTATTTATTTTAAATTAAATTTATATTAAATTAAAAAAATCATGTCATAGAATAATAATAATAATAATAATACAATTCAGAGAGACAAAAACAAAAATAATTTGAAAGTTCAGCGAATAAATTAAAAAAATAAAAGTACAATGAGTAAATAGGAGAGAAAATAAAGTTTAACATGAAATTAACAAAAGATGCAATATTAACAATCTCTTTGAGAAGATTTAAGAAACGATAACCTAATTTAAAGCTAAAAAACGATAGAAATAGACTAAACCAAAAGTGTGATAAAAAAACACAATATTTTAGATTGAGTGCAACCTAAAATTTTATATTCTTTTTAACATTTTCGATTGAATATAAACCAAGTTACCATTATTCACATATTCATATACCAACATCCTATGCAATCAATCAGAAATAACAGTTATAGCTAAAAGTGAACGAACCTTCAATGAAATCAACAAATAAACCAATCAAACAAATTTGAACTTCACCTGTGAACTCCTTCTATGCAATATCCAAAAGCCGCACAAGAATTTTATGTCGAACATGACCAGTAGCCTCCACTTCAACCCTAAATTCTTTCTCTGCCTGCCCCCTAGACATCCAATTCAGCAATATTATTACAAAATAATTTTTTCGAGAAAAAATAAATCCAAAAGCATCGAAATAAACAAGATGGTGTCCGGAAAGATATCCTTACAGATTATTAAGAAGCTTCTTAACTTCTACTTTGGTTCCATTGATCAGTATACCCTAGTAAACCATCCCATATCCGCCCTCCCCAATAACATTCTCCCGAGAAATGATTTGAGGCACGATCAAGATCCCTAAGAGTAAACCAGTGACCCCACCTGAGATGTCAAATCTCTGGCAAGGCAACTAAGGGGGAGGCAGTCACTAGTCCTCCATACAACAATGCAGATTGATCTCGGACTGTTCCAGACCTGCCTTCTTCTCCTGAATGCAAACTAAAACCTCTTTCAAGATGATAAACTGAGCTGCATTGACTGACATTATCAGGATCACTCGATTTGCTCATCCCCAAAAGAGCTAACATTTTCTCCGAATTCTTATCACTGGTTTTATCATGAACAGAAATGACTTGATTCTCCGGATGATCATTGCAGCCCTCAACTCCAACCTTGTCAACGTTGATGTCCTTTGACACATCCGGTATTTGAGAGAGCAAGAACTTGTCGTCTACTCCTCCGAAATGTAACCATACAGATAAGATGCCAAGAACCAGCAAGATAAATGCACCAACAGATAAACCAATCAATACCACAGTTTTAGACCAAAAAATGGTGTCTTCTCTGATAACTCGGCATTTAAGGCATCCCGAGACGACATCGTTGACCTTCCCGGACTTTTAACACAAAATTATATTCAATCTCTTGTATGCATGATAAAAAATTTAACACATTCCTACCTGCGTACCAGAAACATGTCATCTAACACCAAAAATGTCGAAACTATTAATAAATTTTCAAAGTCCATAAATGAGCTTTAAGTTAAATGAATAAGTGATTGTCATCAAAATCATCCTCACACTCAAATAAGAAAACCCAAAAATGATAATAAATCCATAAGATTCTTGCTTAATCTACACCCATTAAAAAAGATTGGGGGGGGGGGGGAGGAGAATATGATACCACATTTAATGAAGTTCATATACATTCAATGAATCAAGAAGAACCATTCTATAAAACAAAGCAGACCACTAAAAATTCAACAACAAACTTCGTATTTCATAGTTTTAAATAAATAAAAACATCACTTATAGTCCAATAAAGATACAGCAAAACTAATTCAAAAAACAGGAAAGCATTTACCTTGTTCTTTTTTCTTAAACGTTCAAATAAACAAAGGGAAAAGAAAAACAAAAACCTTACATTTTAGCATCCAACAAGGAATCTTTCAATGAACAAAAGGATAATGTCACGCCCTCAGAACCTTCAAGCTCAAACCGTCGGAATATCAGAGTTAAGGTCTGACGGGTCGTGCGGCTTTAGACGCTTCTTGGTCTTATCTTGGGAGAGAGTAATAAAGCTCTGAGACATTTACTCAATACTTTCAATGTTCTTTGTTCATTATTCTCTTAGTATTGTTATCTATCTTGGTGGCGAGGAGTAGTCGCACTTGTGTTTGCATTTGCACACAATAATCCAACGTTGGTGGCTTGGAGTAGCCACGTTGGTGTTGAAGCTTCCACAATCCTAGAAGCCTTGAGGGCTTGGCAGGATTTCAAATAGCAGCCGAATAGCGGTATCGCGGCCGGTATATCGCGATCGCGGCGGTGTCCGAAATCGCTATTGCGAAAATAACGGTGTGAAGCGGGATCACACCAATAGCGGCAGATCGCGACCGCTATTTAACGGATCACCAATCGCGATAATAACAGACTGTTATTCCACTATTATTCCGTTATTTTAAATTTTTTTATAAAAAATGTTTTTTATTAAAAAAATCAGTTCATTCGAAAAAAAATTC